TACTTTTTAGTATTTATTTAAATTTCCTAAAATTTTATGATTTTATTTAGAATACAATTATTTAGTAGGTAATTTATTTGTTGTTTGTTGCATTTCATGTAGTAACACTTGCAAACAGTGAATAAATTATTTATTTCAACTGTTCAATGCAGTCCTTATTGCATTTAATAAAATCTAGTGTGGACTAAATATGCCTTCATATGTGAACTAGGGCTTAGTGCGTGCATTAGTCTACTGTGTGCATTAGAGTCTTGTGTGTGCATTAGGGCTTAGAATGTGAATTAGGGCAAGCAATTGTTAAGCACTGACTTCAATTTTGCCTCTTGTACTTTTTGTACAAGAGGTATCAGACGGAGGCCTGTCGTGAACTTTGTTGCTTTACAGTCTTGATCTAGAAGAGTTTATACTAAACCACATTGATATTAGTTGTATTGAAATAGATGTCAATGTATTTATAATATGAAGACGGAAGGATTGACTGAAAGAAGACACTGCATAGTCTCGTTGTAGCCCGTAGGGATCTGATTGTGTAGTTTTCGGCAATTGATTTTCGACGATCAACTCGACGAGCAGCTCTTAGACGTAGAGCGGCCGTTCTTAGAATCTGTAGCTTAAGTCAGGATACTGTCCCGTTTTGAACAGTTTCTGTTTGTATAAGCGTCTTTCGTTTTTTTAAGTTTGGTTTAGCTGCAACCTCATAGTATTAATCATCCATATTTTTAAAACTAATAAGCGTTTCAAATTAATATATATTTTCTTTTTAATAGCTATACTTCCTTCAATGGTAAAACGTCATAATGGCCAAGTATGTTTCATCAGTTCAGTACAAGGAAAATTTTCCATACCACACCGTTCAGCTTATGCTGCATCTAAACATGCTTTACAGGCGTTTACAGATTCATTAAGAGCAGAGGTCTCAAATAAAGGTATTAAAGTAACATGCGTAAGTCCTGGATATATACGCACTCAATTATCTATAAATGCATTGACTTCAAGTGGCAATACTTATGGCAGTAAGTGATTTACATTAAATACATTTCATCATTTAACAATTTTTTAATATTCACAGAAATGGACAAAACTACAGCTACAGGTATGCTGCCTGAAAAAATGGCAGAACATATTCTAAATGCTATTTTACACCATGATAAGGATATTATTGTATGCGATTGGCAGGCGAAGGCTGCTTACTATTTGCGTACTCTCTTCCCATCATTATATTTTTGGTTAATGGAAAGACGTGCACAAAAATTAGAAAGGGAAAACATGATCGGAAAGAAAATTAATTAAAACATAAACTATTTGTAAACAGTAGAAATTTAAAGTTTGTGCTAGCTTGAATGGTTGTAGAAGACAAAAAAAAAAGTATCTGGAATTATCTGTTATGAATATCATAGAAAATATTCTTAATATTAATGTGCAAAAATAGAAAACGTGGTAAAAGTAGTTTGGCTGAAAATTTCACAATTGATTGGAAAGCCTACTTAGGATTAGTTTTTAATATCGACAATCTACAAAATGATCGTACTCAATATATAAAAAAATATATAAAATAGTTTTATAAATTCTCCTATGAAAACATTTCATAGCATCTTACATTAGGCTTGAAAATTAAAACTTGTTTAACACCAATGATATGCTACTCTTATAATAACTTTTAACTTAGCACATACTTTTGATATACAATATTATAACACATATGATAAATGTATATTATATATTTCTGACGAATTCATATATCATAATTCTTTATACATACGATCTTTCTGCCATTCAAGTTGGGACAAGCTATAGTTTTAGTTATCATAATCATAATTTTTTCTCATTTGAATACATAGAAGCGTAGAATTTTTAGCATTAATTAAATAATTTTTGTATTTAAATGAAATAAGAGGCACTTTATTTGGCATCGTACGCGTTGCTCAGTTCATCTGATAATAAATTTTAATTTTTATATTATGTACAATTTATCAATAACATTTCAAACGAAAATGCTATTTATATACGGTAAATAACTTAATAATAGAAAAATGAAGAAATAAATATTACAAATCGCCAAAGGTTACAAGGTAATCATTGTTACTTTTTTTTTTGTCGAAATGAAACACAAACATATTTAATTTTAAAAAGACTAAGAATTTTATGTATTCTTTGTTGGTCTTTTTATAATTCTAAATGTGTTTTTATTTAAAATGTAGCTCAAAGCGGCAGCAACCGTTGTCGCACCTGTCAAGTACCAAAGACTATGCACTGCTACATGATCTGTAAAATAATATGTTTAAATTATTATTTATAAATGAAAGTTCTACTTTACACTCATACCTATATAGTTCCATATCGGTGCACCCAAACTTATGCCAATAGTTCCCAACTGAACAACAGTGTTCACTTTACTGATAAACGTTGGCTCTAGTTGAGCTGTTACATGTGTTGCATCAAAGTACCTAGAAAGGGTTTTCTAAAAAAATATTTGACATATTTTTAATTCTATATATCAAAAATATAGTTTTTATTATTATAACATGTAAAGTTTAGATTTATAAACTTACTGGAGGTGGCAGGCTTATGTAGCGTATTACAAATCCAGCAGCTAACAGGAAAACATCACGAAATAGGATGGTACCTGCAAGCCAAATGGGGATCAGATCGCAATATCCCATCGATATAACCAATGAGCCTATCAATAATTTATCAGCCATAGGATCCAAAAATGAGCCAGCCTTACTGGACTGTTTTGGCCAACGCCGCGCTATTTGTCCATCAAGCTATTGTTAAAACTATTAAATCGAATATTTATATAGCTGCATATAGTTAACTAACTTACTAAATCAGTTATTCCTGCTACGGCAAGTAAACTCATTGCTAAGCTAAAGTCACCTTGTACAATGACATAACCAATATATGGTGATAGAAAAGCTCGCCCCATCGTTAACATGTTTGGTATTGTCAATATATTCTCACGTTCTATGACTTCTTCCATTTTTTCACGTACACGTTCTTGAACTTTGGTACGCGCTACCCGTATGTCCTCGACAATAAAATTTTTACGCTCGATGAAGCTTTCCCGTTTCTTTTCAATCACATCATGCAGCAGTTCTTTTCCTTGCAGTGTACGCATATGTATTGAATGCTTCTTGGCATCGGCATACAGACGTAATGTTGCAACATTCCAACTTTGATATTGACTTATGTCTAAAAAGGAAATGCCCAAGAAACCCGTTGCAGGTACATATCGATTAAGGCAGTTTATACCGCTGGCTGTTGGTGAAGAACTGGTACCAATGACAAACTCCGTTAATCCTTTGCATATGCCACTTCGGTTCCGTTGAACCTGACGGAATATTGTTGCAGGCAGCATTTTTAATTTGTTGTTCTCTTCACGTACACAACAATTAATTTAAAGTTTTTTTGTATTTATGATTATTTAAAGTAGTGTTTTATAATTTTTGCATTTCACTGTTAATTAAAAAAAGATCAATATTTAAATTACAACCGATTGTTGTTTTGACGTTTTTATTTAGATTTTTTATAACGTAATAGCAGTTGACTCTGTCCCCGTTGACCCCGTCTCCTTGACACTGTCATATCAATATTACTTACCGCATTAGAAGTTATCTTCTATTTATTATTATTCCCATAACGTCATGAATGGAACACAGACTTTAAATCTTGTTTCAAAACACTGTATCAATTTAAAACTTTAAATCAAATTTATCGCCCCAATAAGCTGCTGCTATTATCAATTGGCTAATGTGTGCGTGATTTATTTTTATAGTATTTTTTTTGCATTTTCTTTTGGTCATCTTCGTAGTTGGACAGATATGTAAAATGTCAAACTTATTTATTGCTGCCAGATTGAATTGAAAAAAACGACTAGACCGCACAAATGCTTGCAGTACCTCATTTTAAGAGATAATCAAAAAATATATTAGCAACACTAATGATTTATTATAAATATTGTTTAATACTCACTAAATCTCTTAAACATAAAAATCTTAAACTTGCTTATATTTCAATAACCAATTGCGCATGTGTCTAACTCAAATTTTCGTCACATAAATTAGTTGTTCTGTTAACTTAATTGTCATTTAAATATAAATAAAAATAATTCCGAGTGTGAAATAATTGTTCTTTGAAGCAATTTATTTAATTTATTTATTAAATAAACAAAATCGTTGATCTACATATTTAATGAAAATATGCAAATATCACCAAAAAAACCAGTAGAGTTGCCATTCAGAGCAAAATATATAAATCAGCAAATTCGTCTAATTTTAAATCGTTTCGGAACTGATTAAATTTAAACAATTTGGTTAACTTTTCTATTTAGAGTCTAAATTAGTATGGAAAGCATAGAAAGCCACAGTGTAAGATTTGAACACACTGAAATCATCTCTCAACAATACAAAATTTCAGCCCCATTCCAGTTATAATGAAAAATACAAACATCAGGAAACAGAGGATTTAGCATTTAGACAACAAATAAATTTAAGCCAAAGTTGAATAGGGAGGATCAGTAAAGGGAAGATCAGAGGATGTTATTGTTAGGTAGTAAAACTTGACCAGAAGTAAACTCGTAGTAAACTCTGAGTAAGGAATTATTGTAATCACGATTATAGAGCAGGATTACATTAGAGAAATGGACGACGATGTCCAGATAAAGGTATTGGAATTGAGAAGGTTTATACATTCCATTATCAAGCAGGTCGATGGAAAATTGAAACTCAGTGAAGTATAGCAAGAGGAAATTAAGACGTCTGGTATTAGGATTGTTAGAATTTCCCGGGAATATCTAGATGTGGTGTAGAACAAGCAATCATGGTCAAATAAATTTCTTTAACGCTGCAATAGGGGACAGGAATGTTCGAAGTAAAAATATAAAAAAGCATTATATTAAGAATGCAACTTCAGCAGCGACTGGGAAGGTTTTGGAACGAATCCGAAACTTAGTTCTGTTGATTATGAATTTGAAAACTTCAAAAATTATCTTATGAATATCGTAGTAGGTGAATTTGAAAATAATTAGCATCAGACCGTTGTTAGAGTTGGATTTACGACAACTGATTTTTCTTGTCAATGAGTAAAAAATTCCTTCTTATTCGAACTTTGCGTTAAAGTCCTTGAACATAATTTTAACGTCGAGGGCGATAATATTAGCATTAATTTTATCTATAATTTTTAATATATACTCTAATGAATATAACTCCAAACAATCCAAGAATATTGAGGCGAGTTTTACACTTTTTCGCAAAAAAATCCACTTTTTCCTTTGCTTCCTTATTCGCTAATCCCTGAAAGTTAAACTGAAAACACTTAAACTTAAACTTTTCTTAGCAAAACTTACTAATAACTTGAATTCCAAAAATGCAGAGTTAATTTTTTACTGGCTCAAAGTTAAGTCTATTTTTTACTATAAATATATAAGTATAAATTAAGAAAAGATTTTTTTTTTAAATATTTTAATTTAAAATATTTATTTATTGTTACTTCTTTAATTCGTTTATATTACATCACCCTTCTCAAATTGCTAATATAGTTTTATTTAACATTTGTTATATATTAATTTGTTACCTTTAAAGTAAATTCAATATTATTGCTTTTAAGTTTATATATCGTTTATATAATATAATTGAAAATTAATTGAAATTATGAAACGTTTTCTAGTTTATAATTTACTACATAATTTTCGTGCTACAAAAAGCGTAAAAAAGTTTATACATTATTTTTTTTTTTTATATTTTCGTCAAACAATTTAAATAAATTATTAATTTTTTTTTTTACTTTATAACCATTTTTTTCCGATAAATAATTAATTGTAATTTAATTAAATATAATATTTAAAGCTTTTACTTTTTTACTTATATATAATTTTATTTAATCTTTATTTTGTTTATTGAAAAGTGCGAAAAGTTTTTTTTTATTAATATATCATTTGAAATAATTAAAAATTATTTAATTTACTTTTAAGGTTTTAGAAGAGTCAAATATAATGTAATATTCGAAAGATCAATTTAATTTTTAATAGATACTAAATAATAGTTACAATATTTTAACATTTATACAGTTTTTAAAATATTTAAATTGATTAAATTTTACATTGGAAAATACAACATAATTATTGTTTTTAGCCTTAAGTTTATATTATTTATTTTGAAATTATTTTTAATCATTTTAAAACTTTTTAAATTAATTTAAGTATACCAAAATATAAATAGTAATTGTTTCTTTTATGAAGTAATATCTAACTAACATATGTATATTAAAATTTGGGGTATTCATGATGTTAGGTTAACGGTTGTTTAACTATTTGAATAATCTATGAATTTTTTAAAAAAAATAATATTGAATAATATGCGTCTTCGAATTAAAAATGTGGGTATTATGATTGTATATATACATAATATACTTATGTATTATAATGATATACTTTCAAAAAAATCGTGTATGCACTTTTTTAGTAAGTTCTACACTTTTTAATTGTCTCGCTAATTTATTTTAAAATTTTTAACTGCAGTCAGTTTGACAGCAGATACAACAATTATTCCCAACACACTATAAACAATAAGTTTAAACTGAAGGAATACATCCTTCAATAATTGTCATTTATTATATTATATTGTATTTATTATGTTATTATTATGTTATATTAACATTATATTATGTTAATATGGATATAGGTGCTTGAATTTGTCATTGAACCTATTCAATAAGATTATTCTATAATTTTATTCACTGAGATTATTCAATGAGATTACTAAACAGCATTATTTACCGAAATTATTAAATAAATCATTAAATATGTATAAGCAAAAAAAATGATTAAGCGCACTCATTAATATTTCTATTAAATAAAATAGACTTTGTTCAGTTTACTATAATAAGTACATTTTAACAGCTGGAATGTATTGTATATTCGACATCTATATGTTACACAAATATTAACCTTATATCACGAATACTCTAATGCTAGATCACACCAGAGTTTTGTTTTTAATTTTAGTTGTCAAAAATTTCCATTTTGCATTAAAAGCAACAACAATTGACAGTTGAAATTACAAACAAAATTCTCGTGT